CCTCATCTTCTGAGGTAAATTGGGCTGAGTGTGACTGGCCATTTGGCTTTCATGGCTAAGACAGGATTAGAACTCATGGTCTCCTACTTTATATAGCCTGTTATCTTAACTATTTGACCAAATTGACTCTCTTTTGATTTATTATTTATTTGATTTATCTCTCAATTGTTTTAATACCCTACCATTAGGATAATAATCTACACTACCATTAAAACAATTGTTCTTATTCAGTTTAGTGTAGGACATCTGGGATGACAGATGTTACCTGGAAGACAATTTCAAAGATGCCCAGGCCTTTTATAGGTAACTGCAGTACTTTAAATTGCTCTTGTGGCAGTACCATAACTGTCTACTTAGCATAAAGGCATTTTGTATCCATTAAATTTTCTGGGTGGCCTTAGAAGAGCAACCCATGTACAGTGATCAAGTATGAGATACTGACTCAGCATGCTCCTCTGCTCCCAGAAAGACCACAAATGGTTTACCAGACAAAGCTGGCTGCAGCCTCCTATTTTTCTTGAACAAGAGCCAGGAGTCCAGGAGATTGCCCAAGTGACTGCTTTTTCAGATGGAGGCCTGTTTCTTCCAGAGTCAAAATCAATACCATTCATAGAGTGTTTGGTTTCTCAATTAGAGGCCCCACTTGTCTGGGGTGTTTAGGGTATCTTTTGAATCCTCTTCCTAAAATAATCTGAATTATTTGCTGATATTCTCTATTTAAAGACACTTAAGATGCTCGGGACAAAATATTTATTTCAATTTTCTTCCCATCCTTTTATTTTATTATAATGACATTACAAAATAACTGTCATTTTTTCATGCTAAGCCAAACCCAAACAATTTCTACTGTCTTTGGATTATATTTTAATTTATTAGTTGTCCTGTCTTATTAAAAAGAACATTTCACATAGTAGACGAATCTTCTTTTGAGAGGAAAAAGTGTGCAGGTGATCTTCAACTTATGACTGTAATTGAGCCCACAATTATGGTTGTAACCTGTGTTGGTTTTTAAGCAGACCACCATGTGACCCCTCTCAATTGTACAATATTTTTTTATAGCAGTTGTTAAATGAACCCATTATATAGGATTTTTTATATAGGATCCCCTCTATAGGATTTTTTTTGTGGGAAAACAGAAGAAAACACCATTAAATCGTGACCATTGGATGCTGCAAATAACAAAAAATGCAGGCCAGTTGCCAGCACCCAAAATGCAATCACGTGACTGTGGAGGGTGGGGATGGCCATCATAATGTCAAATCTGGGACGTATCATGTAAATAACTCTGGGGAGGTCCAGTGTAACTTCAAACAGTCCCTAAATGACAGGTCATAAAATTACCTTTATAACTGTTGAATCAGATGCAGGGAGATCCTAGTTCTTGTCCACCTTATGTAAGTTCACTGGGTGTCTTAGGGCCAATCACACTCTCAGCCTAACTTATTTCAATGGGTTGTTTTGTGAAAAAAATAGGAAGCTTCCTCCCTGGACTCTTGTATAAACGATTATATAAAAACCACTCCCATCCCCTCCTCACCTTAAATCAGCTTTGATTGTGACAGGGGAACGTTTTAGAAAAATGAAGGGGGAAAAATTCCACCCATTGTAAGTTCAGCCAACAAGCAGTTCAAATTTATACTACTGGTTTGGGCTGCAGTAATAGAGTTTGGGAATTTTAGAGACTCTGGATTTAATGGTTGCAAGCAATTGTCTTTAGCCTTTGTTTAGTAAAGTATGTCTGCTCCAAAAATGGTATCCCAATTCCACACACAGTAGCTTTCTGTGAGATGTGGAGAGTTCAATGGCTTCTCAGCTTTAGCTACACCACCGTTTTAGATTTCTATTTATGAAACAGTTAATGCTTAGGTCATCTTTTGTAGCTTCTGACTGATATCATTTTCAGAAATGTTTATGTTTAGCTCTACTGAATAAAAATATTTTTAGCACAGAAGGCTCCTCCTGTATCTCTCTGAATCCAACAGAACATAAATATGCTGTTGCTTTAAAAGAGAGGGTTGTAAATTTTCCCATGGTCTCGAGTTGCTTGTTTCCAGGACCAGTCCAATTATGGATTGATTATGAAGTTTCCTCCCCCTGTTGATTCAAGTCAGGATTCCAAGTCATCTACTGACCCTTATTTTCTATATAGACAATAGTATTTCAACTGTATTTAGATGGGTAGCTATGAAATTGAATAAAATAAATTTCCAGAGTTGTTTCCCTTTCTTCATCTGACCATTTAATGCATTAGGAATGCATAATGCAAGATATTGAGATATTGAATGTGAGCTATTATAGGCTGACATTTCTATCTTAGATGGGCTTTGAGTGGCTTGAAATATCCTTGCTTGAAATATTCCAATAATATTGTCATACCGCATTCTTTATTAAAGAGGGAATATCTAAGCACATTTTCCCTGCTCTGATCAACATCCACTCCAAACGTATCACCAATCTACTCCATCAATCTTACAAAACAGATTCCCCAGCTTTGTGGAGAATTTATGCCATTGACAGTGGAGTGAAACAAAGGGATACAGATAGTCCTTGATTTACAACAATTAATTTAGTGACCATTCAAAATTACAAGAGTACTGAAAAAGTGATTGATGACCGTTTTTCATACTTATGACCGTTGCAGCATTCCCATGGTCACATGATCAAAATTCAGATGCTTGGCAGCTGATTCGCATTTATGACTGTTGCATGTCCAAGTGTCATGCAATTCCCTTTTTGCGACCTTCTGACAATGGAAATGTCAGATTCATTTAACAACTGTGTTACTAATTTAACAACGGCAATGATTCACTTAACAACTGTGGCAAGAAAGATCACAAAATGGGGCAAAATTCACTTAACAAATGTTTCCCTTAGCAACAAAAATTTTGGGCTCAATTACGATCATAAGTTGAGGACTACCTGTACCATGTTTTATGGCTCTGAAAATAATTTTCTAGATTTTACATTTTGGGTAAATCCCATAATAAAGTAAGCACATTTCGAAGTTTTAAAATGTAAGCAGAGCAATCCTGCATCTTTAGAATATTTCAACATCAACCTTTCAAATTTCTGCATCAAACTAGAAAGAAAGTCCTTTGGCAGAACCTATCTCCAAAAAGCTAAGTAGGATTGGACAGGAGACTGCCAGGAGATACAGAAATATATTTAGACTGAAGTTGAAAAATATCCTCAAATGAAAGCCATGGAAAACCACTTCTATTGCCAAAAACAAAAAAAACAACAACAACAANTTAAAAGATGTTATAAAGGTGTAGTGTTATTGGAGGATTTTTTGAAATAGCTAATGAATGCCATTATGTGGTTGTGTCTTTAAGTATGAATGATCTGAGGTAAAAGCATAAAAGTTCAAATAACTGTAGTCAAATGAGAATTGTGATACATTAATAGTAAGATATACAAAGATTTTTGATTTAAAGTGTATAATCTAATATGAACTATAAGTAATGACTGTGAAAGAAATGCACGAAAGTTATCTCTAACCAATCGATACACTTTCTACAAGATGTAATAAAAGATGATTCTTTTTTTGTGTTTTTGTTCAATTAAAATAAAAAAAAAATCAAAAAAAAAACTTTCAATAGTGCAAAATCCGAGAAAAAGAAGTGCAGGTACTAGTACAAAATATGATATTGTAAATATATTTAAATTTTAGAATTAATGATTTTAAATCTTGCAGCTCCTACTTATAACTTAATCTGTATTTTTATATGTTATAATCTGTACTTATAACATGATAGATTTTATTTTACCTTCCTTCCTTTCTTTCTCTTCCTGCTTCTCTTTTCCTTTCTTTTTTCTTTTCTTTTCCACATGTTGAGGGCAGAATGCTTTGCCTATATTCAATATTTCGAGGGGGGGGTCATATAATTTTTATTGAAAAAGAACTTTAAACAGAGTTTAAAACTACAGCAAACCTAAAATGAAAAATAAAAAAGGAAGAAAAGAAAAAGTGAGAAACAGAGACAAAGAAAAAGAAAAATTTCTAGAAGCGTCTTCCCATCTTCTATAACAGCAGTTACTGGCATAATTATTAAGAATTCCATCCTCCCAAATTATTGTTTGGTTCCCCTCTTTCATAAGCAACCCTTTTTAATCAGTAACTTCAATATTTTGATTTAGTATTATGAGGTTTTTCCTTATTTTTATAAACATCCAAATAAACGTAACCCACATATTCCACTTATTTTTAGTTAATTGGATGGAGGCAGGGAGATATTTTTTTTAATTCAGTGGATTGCCACAGACACTAAAGGATGTAATCCCTAAGAAACTCCTGCAGTTTCTCCAAAAAAGAAGATTATAGGGTTTGATGAATCTATTCAAAGGAGAACTATGCAGTGGGATTTTTAGTTATCTTATGGGCTATTTCTTCATCGAGTTCATCACCGAGGAGATCAAAGTAATAATTGGGTGGATTTTAGGTATCATAAAAGTGTAGCAAATCACTAGCTGTTATTATTTAGGGAATAAGCAAGGTTTCTTGGGATATATAGGGGTAATGAAATAACTTTCAGAATTTGTCTGAAAATCAACAGAACTTTCTTTACACAAAGTAAAATATATCACAAGAATGATATGGTCACTATAGAACAGCTCTGTATAGTCAGATTGATTCAGACCTTCAATCACAATATATTAGACTGGAGAGGGTTGCTGGTGATATTCCTGTTAGGCCTGTTGCTATACAGTCCTTTGATGATGAGTAGGTGGTGATTCTTTTCAGATCCTGGGTCCATGCAAGTGGCAAAAGGTTATAGGTAACTGCATCCCCCAAAGCAAAAACAGGTGGAGATGAAGAGAAATCGTGGCCCCCGTTTAGTCTTACCGATTAAATATTACCCAAGCTTCAAGGAATAAGATGCAGTGTAGAGGGAAGAAGAATAGGTCACCATTTCTACTTGCAAACAGTCCGAGGAAGCTGTGATTTTGTTTGAAACTAATAGATATCTTCATTTCTTTTTCTTCTTCTATTTCACTAGATGTCATACTACCAACCTGAATGGCCTGTATTATAATGGACCCTATTCAGCAAGGACAGACAATGGAATTGTGTGGTACACATGGCGTGGCTGGTGGTATTCCTTGAAGTCTGTTGTCATGAAAGTCAGGCCGTCAAACTTCAGTCCCAGTGTAGCTTAGGGTTTGCTTCCCATGTTCTTCTTAATCAAATCAGTCACACCTGCACTACGGCATTCACTTATTTCACATATAAAGAATCAATTAAGTATAGTCATTGGTGAGTATATAGACACTTCATATAGAGTAAGGGTTTTGGGGGGGGCAGCAATAGGGTTACAGCTTGCCACTATCTTCTTCTCAGAAGCTCTTTTTAACTTCTTGGTCTGACTTACAGCCCTGACATTTCTTATGTTCCTGCATTGAAGTTCTAACCAGCTTCAAGGGAGGGAAACCTCAAAAAATGCCAGGGCTGTAAGTCAGAAGTTAGAAGGGGCATCTGAGAAGAAGGGAACTGTATTGAGATTTTTTAAAATCAACCAAGGCTGTGCAAATGCTGCCAACCCCTAACCAGCAGAGGTGGGTTGCTGCCGGTTCGGCCGAACCGGTAGTGGAATTCAGGTCTGGGTCACAAAACTGGCAGAAACTGAGACCTGACAAACCCCCAAACCGGTTCCCTCATTGCCACTTGGGCACCACCATTTTGAATTTTAGGGACTGTGCATGCGCAGTTCACTGTAAATTGTTCTGCACATGCACGCAGAACAATTTATATTGAACAGTGCAGACGAGTGCACGTGAGCCCACATGAGCATGCATCTGGCACGCGTGTCTGGCACACGCATCTGGCATATGCACAGACACATTGCACATGGGTTGTGAACCCATAGTAACGCCGGCAGCAACCCTGCTAAGCAGCTTTCATTTTTTAAATCTAAATTTGTATTTGGATTAGTTCCAGGGCATATTCATGCACTATTCATCTTTCAGTAAAACCACAATCCAAACTAGGATACCTATGTTCATCCCATTGATTTTCAAAAGCTTAAATGTGCTTAATGCTTTTACATATTTTTATTGATAAGAAAGCAAATGACATGGACATATAAACAACTTGAGCTCTTTTAATTCCACAGTCATTATCTTAAAAAAGATATTTCAGGTCCTATTCCACAATAGTTACATTACTAGAAGATTTAATACTTCATTTGTATTTAAGAGCATTAATTCTACAATGTTTTTAACTTGACCCTCTTCACAAGCAGAATACAATCCAAAATATACACTGGATGAAGTTAAGTCTTTCAGATATTTTACATTGATAATCTACAGATCTGTTAAAAATTGTCTCTTTTCAGATTTTCTGAATATTTGTCAATCTTTTCTGTTACATATTCGTAGAACAGACCTTCATGTGGGTCCTACTCACATCCACCAAGACATATAAAGAGAGTCTGAATAGATAAATAATACTAACATTTAATGTTGCTTTTATTTTATAGACAAAATCACCCAACATTCAAAGTGCCAGAGTGAAAGAAGGATCTCTCTAGTTTAGTTAAAGGCAAATTTAGGTCTAACTGTATTAGAACAGAGATTCAACAGGCATGCCATGCCCCATTCAGAAGAAATGTCTGAAAAATTCCATAAAACATAGTTAATACCTATTAATCTGGAAGAGATTACATAAATTATATTAAAGCTTTAGGGATCCATAGTCCAAGCATTGAACTGGAGAATGTTTGGGACAATGAATCATTCCAAAGGTGACTATCTTCTCAAAGTCATCCCATCATTATTGTTATGAAATAAATTAAAGAAGCCCCCAACTTTGGTGTTACTTATTTACTTGGACTCCCTTTATATATATACTGAAGCATTATAAATATTCTGAAATGTGGGAAATGGTTTTCTACAGAGCTTTATTCGTTTTAGCTTTATTACACATAGTTTGCTAATTCCTATCCCACTATATGTAGTTAGTCATGCTGCAATTACGTGGATAGAAGCCTGAGTAAGACTGAATTTTGGAAGAAATGAAGAGTAAATACCTAGAGTGGCTAGAACAATGGGTCTAAATCTCACATCTAATTAGGAGAATCCAATGTAGTATCATTTGTTTCAGCCTGCAATTTATTTTTTGATGTGACTTGTAATCATTGAAGAATAGGGACATTGCTGTGAGGATATTTTTTAAATAAAGCTTGTTAAAGGAGCATTGCTTTTCCAATCTACATCACAAAAACTGATACAAATGAACTCAGAATAATATGTATCTTCTATTATTTCAATACGGCACACCTACTAATTAGCTGATACTCATGGCATCATAATTTATTTGCTATTCCTGTCCTTTTTAAAAATCAAATTATTGCTTAGGAATTAGTGACAATTAAAGAACATGAAAAAATACAGGCCACTTAGAAAAAGGACAGTATGGTTCTAATAAGACAAATCCTATTTTGGATTAGTATATTCCCTGTTAAATTATGTCAATATGATTCTAGACCTATTTAAAGTTTAATTTCAAATATGTATTTTTAATATTTTAAAAAGCATTACAGAAAACTTTTTTTAATAAATGCCATAATAGAAATGAAATGTTAAAATGTAGAAAAGCACTAACTATTTTTTTTAATTTCATCTATTTCTTGTTTCATACCATTGAAATAAAGATTACTTTATTTAGGCCCATTATATTATATGATATATTAACTGGGTTTCAACTTTGCAGATAAATAAAGTTATACCATTCGCATAACATTATTTTAGAGACCAAAGTGACTTGTGTAATAAAATCCTTATAATAGCCCCATAGAGGAAAAGCAATCCTTATATTGCAGGTAAAGTAATGTAACTGGTCAGCAGTATTTGTAGTATGCTATGATGTTGATAAGATATTGGTTAGTCAATTAATCAAATCAATGCATGAGCATCATACACTAGAAGACAATAAAATGAGAGAAGATACAATGAAGTGAAATAAAAGCTATGGTGACATTAATAGAATAAAATATAGGAGATAAGATAAAGTAAAGATAAATAAGTAAGACAAAATAGAAGAAGAAGAAGAAGAAGAAGAAGAAGAAGAAGAAGAAGAAGAAGAAGACTTTATGAAGTTGATTAACTGTATCAAATAAATAAAACTGATACAAAAATGCAAATAGATAATGAATAGATAATAATAATAGATCACCACCCCTGCATTTAACCTCAATCTTATCAAGGTATTCTGTCCTGTTTGATGTGGCTTTTGAAATGAAAAGTGCAATCTTATTGATGATATGGAGTTTTGTTTCCTGCAATAAGTAAGACTGTTTCTCCTGCCTGGGTGTTTCAATATTTTTTTTTACTTTTTAAATAAAGGTTAAGTAAGCAACCCTTTCTAGAGATAGAAATGGAGTCAACAAGAGCGTGTTCCACCAATCCATAGTCTTTCTTCAACCGATACTTCATGAAACCTCTCATGTCTTATAATGGAGTCCTATTTTGTGTTCTAAAATAAGTCTTCTGAAGCATGTAAATTGTTAATTTTTGATTTCATTTTTATGAAATCAAAGTGATGATGTCAGGCTTGCAGTTATATTCC